AAACATACTTACGTCAGCGGGCTGTATGTTCAAATACTTGTATGCGTTTTAATTAAATCGTTCGTTTTTTCTTTTTAAACCTCGGCCATTCGCTTTAGTTTATTACAACCATCTTTTATTGCAATCTGATGAACGGGGAGTGGCATAATAACGGAAAAAGTGCAGACGGTATGGCGGTGGAAATAATCCTCGAACATACCTGCGTGGTATTTTTTTATTTTTTAGCTGTTTATGAATACCGCGGACTGCGTGGCTTCGCGAAAATCCCGTATTGTAAACTTTTTTTTTTTTAATCTCATCGACTTAAGAACTAAAAATATTATACTCGATGGAAATCAATCTTGAATATAATAATTATATCAATTATTGATGTAGGTAGTCTGCATTGCACAGTTACATTGGCCGTCAGTGGACATAAAAAAAAAACCGCCGGTCGAGTTTACATAAACGTATTCTGTCTCGAATTTAAGACGATTTTAATTTTATTCGATTGGGAGTAGAATGTGTTTTTATTTCATGTAAATTGTAACGTTTATTTTTTCCACGGGGACTAAGAAAAAGTTAACGCGATAGTGTTATTATTCAGTTTAACGAGTATAACAATATATCATCTTGTAATGTATTACAATATTATCGTTTATATACTTTGTATTTTTTATTATGGTTACGTCACGTTCAGGCGTTAGATTGGAAGTCTACCGTCGAAAAGCTGCGATTTACACCGCACCAAAACCATAACCAGTGTTTTAAGAGTGCTCTATACCATACATTAGATTGTTATTTATGTACCGTTGAAGTGTTAAAAAAAGTAAAACTGAATCCTTATTAGATTCTCTCGACTAAAACAAAATAATAAACAGTATATATATATTTATAGAAATATATTGTATTATGCTCGTTACCGACGTCATAACTCTAACATGTAAATTGAACGAAATATTACATAATATAGTGTGCATAACTTAATGTTATTTAAAGGTAACGGAGAAACGTGGATAACGCGGTGTGAATATTATGTACAAGATATTAGACGAAAAGCAAAGGAATAAAATTGCAAATCGTAAACATTAATAGAACGAATAGCGAAATAATGTGTAACCACGAATGTGATATAGACGGCGAGCGAACCACTTGGCCTCAGGCGATAGGCAAATGCATCTTGTGGTCATGATCGTTTTCGTGCTGCGCTTTTGCTATTCTGTTACGGGCCCATGCACCGCTTATGTGCTCGGGACACTTGGATTCGTGACAGGGACGTATTTAGATTTACTCCTTGGGGGGGGGGGGGGGGGGGCTCACTTTTTTTCTTTAATTCAAGCTCAAAATTTACAAGTAACATTTTTGGTAATATTTAAATCTGGTGAATCCTTAATATTTGTGGTTTCTTTTTTAATCTAATCCACTTAGAATCGAATTTTGTGTGGTTCTTTTTTAACACCCGCCTGTGTTTTGAAAGTGGCGCTTGAGTTCTATTTGATTTTTCACTAAGTATGGACCTGTCAAAAAAGCCCAATTCAGTATTCACAGCCACGCGTAATATGATTTCGTTATAAAATGATCCACATTAAAAAAATTTGAATTGTACATCTCACATATAATTGATTTCCTTAAATCCGGATTCAAGGGGAGGCGATCGCCTCTTCACCCCCTCCCCCCTCTAAAATACGGCTCTGGTCCATGGGCCATCGCAGTGTGGTCACATGACCCAAGTACTGGTAGAACGCAGTGCCCACACACAACAACCCGGTTGCTGCACTCGCGGCACGCCGACTTCCACGTGACCCGACTGGTGGTCGAAATTCATGGACAGCCGGGCATCACGCGCTCTAGCTTATCCTCGCACCGTACCATAACGAGCACCGTATTCGACAGCTTCACGGTTCATCGTACGTGATGGGCCCAGTCTTTGTTTTAAAGAGTATGAAACATATATATCGTAGTGTTTTCAATAGTTTTATTACTTTTTTTTTTCATTTTTAGTACGTTTTTTTTTTTTTTCACAAAAACGCGCATTTTGTGTTCTTTTATTCTCAAAATGTCCATAGTCTCGAATATTCTGACAGCAAGTGTTTAAGATCGATGGAAAGGGAGGCTTTACATTTTTATACATTTCCGGGCACATGTGGGGATAGAATCGCAAACTCTTGTTTCGCACGTCTTAATTCATTTTTTTTTATTTTCAACTTTTACTTAAACTTTTACTTAAAAATTCTTCGATATAAGTAATATTCTGGGTATCTATTATGTTTATAATTTTTAGAACTTTATCATCTTTAATAAAATTACATTAAAAATTTATTAAATCGAATGTAAAATCACATGTTTTATTTAAAGTAGGTACTGAATATTTATTGTTTACAATAGACTATAAAAGAATATTAATCGCTATAATGGTAAAAAAAATTAATTAAATATATGACAAAATAATTAAAATGTTAATCATATTTTTTATGGATTAATTATTTAATTTTTTACGTTGTTAAGGAATAAAAATATATTTTTTCAGATTTTAAGTTTTTTTTTTGGGACTTCGTGGCATTACGTCACTGGCATATGTTGTTACTACCAACAGTTAAACTTGGTTAACTTGATATCATCGATACCTGGAATTTTTTTAGCCTAGAATTTCTTGTTTAAAATAATGGACAATGGAGAAAATAAATAGTGTTCAAATAGAAATTCTCGTAGATGACTCGAAACTCCAATTTTATTAATGAAACTGATCAAATTAACGTACGTAATGATTATTCCCCATGTATATATGTACATCTAATATCGAAAATTAATGTATTGGTCGTCAAATTTACATTTTACATGCAAATTGCATATCTACAAAATTATTAGGACCATAGATGCAAATAGTGTTTGAAGTGTTGGGAGAGGCTAAAGCTCAGATCAATACTGAATGCTTTTACGTCATAACAAAACATGTAGTGAAATCATTGGTTTCATTGACTAATCTCCTCCAGCATCCTCTATTTTCACTTATGATTAGGATCGTGTAACGCTTAAAATTATTTCAACATGTTTTCGAAAAACTGGCTTTTCTATAAGTGAAAGGGTAAAAATTACGGATGATGAAGAAATTATACCAGAGGCGGCTCCAGGGAGGGGGGGCTAGGGGCCGCAGCCCCCTCCCAAGCTCGTACCGTATTTAAAAAAAATTGTATATTGTTAACAAAAAATGCATATTATAATGTATGTACTATCATACGTTATATGTATATATGTACTACCATACGACACGCACAAGTATGTAGATAGAGCCATAGAGGTATGACGGTTGAAAGAAGTTTCTCCACACTTTGGAAACTAAAAACCTGGCTTCGTTCAATGATGACTGAATATAGACTATCAGCATTGTGTCTAACTAGTTGAATTACCCGTCGTTGCCGGGTTTAAGTATATAAATGTATGTAACCTGCCAAGATTAAATTTTGTTAAATCTATTGATATTTAAATTAATTAAGATTTTTGAAATAATATTTTATACATATTAATTTAGTTTTTAAGACAATGATTATTATCATAACCTATTCGATAAGTTATAGCTTTTGGCGGCAGAAGCTTTGTTCACGATAAATTTTAGCACTAAAGGTTCAAAATAAATGTTTTACTAATTGTTTTTCAATAATGTTATCTACAAAACTTCTTTGTAGACAATGTTCTTCACTGATCTATTAGTAGGCGACAAAATCACCAAGCTACTGGGTGAGCTTACGCGTGAGCAAGCTACGTAGAACTGCCCATGTGAACCTGCCAAGATTAAATTTTGTTAAATCTATTGAAATTTAAATTAATTATAATTTTTGAAATAATATTTTATACATATTAATTTAGTTTTTAAGATAATGATTATTATCATAACCTATTCGATAAGTTATAGCTTACAACTACCTGAACCTGTTTGGTATTCTGTTGAATACATATAGCATCTCACTTCTCCGAATATTTTACCTTTTGTCAATGAGTTCATAGTCTTTTTAACTTTTAACCGAAACACTCTTGCAATTATATCATGTCGATCATATATATGATCTTTGATCGGGAAGTAAGAGCTCTTTTAAATCGCATCTTTTAAATGAATATAATTATCTGAACGCAATTTGGCTTGATTGTTTTTGATGTAATTTAGTCTTTCAGTTTCAATTTTGGCGTTTTTAATATTTAATTAACTAACCTAACCGATTTCAACCCTTTAAATTCAAAATTTCGAAAAATCCTTTCTTAGCGCACGTCTACATCATAATAGCTATCTGTATGCCAAATTTCAGCCAGATCCGTCCAATGGTTTGAGCTGTGCGTTGATAACAGTCAATCAGCTTACTGTTTCATATATACAGATTAATGTATTTCATAAATAGATATTCTAGATCAAAAATATCATATTATTGATATTTTTGCCTATTTTAAAATTAAACGACTTGAATTTGTGTTGTAAAAATTGTTGTTTTCTTTTTGTTATGAGATTTTGTAAAATTATAATTGCCCCTTCCCTAACCAAGGCTCTGGAGCCACCCCTAAATAATACATACGGTGAAAATGAAAAACTGGGATGGAGTGAGACAAGGTGTAAATATTATTTTTTATAACTGTATCATCGACATGGATGTCATATTATATAACGATTATAACATAAGTACATACGTATTGTTATCCGTTGATGATAAGAAACAATAATTTAATGAACCACGTCTCTATACAAACGTAGATAGATTACAACAAATCTGGGTGATTTATCGAAAAACAACAAGAGTTGAGTGATGAACTTTTTTCGATATTAAATCAAATCGAACCGCTTTCAGACAAATGTCTGCGATCAACAACAAAAATTAATACTTTTATTTTTTTTCGATTAGTTATTCTCATCAGATATGACGTGAAAATGGTATTAAAAAATAATAATGATTAAAAATAAATACAGTATAAACGCTGTTGCACAGCCGTTGTAAGTAAAACAATTAAAAAAATGTTCGTTTTACATTTGTCCCCGGAAACAGCAACGCGTCAACGAAGTGATCACGGAAGGGATACCGGCCGAGCTGCCGCAGTGGCAGATCACGGTGATCCCGGTCGACGAGGGCGACACGTTCTACATGTTGGTCCGCATACATCATCTGTACGCGTCCGAGGACGGCATAGGGCTCAGCGAGCTGCTGCTGCTTAAGCCGGACGACCTCAACTGGAAACAACCTGGTGGCGGCGGTGGTGGCGGCGGCGGCGGCGGCGGCGGCGAGCCGTTGGCGTCGTCGCAGCACGCGGAAGCGGACAGCATCCAGAACATCCTGTCCACGGTGTACCAGGCGCCGACCGCGTTGCCCCGGCTCGGCGAGCACGTATCCGAGGTGTGCACGAACACGTGGAACGAGCTGGTGTCCACGTACGACCCGCTGGAGAACACGAAGGTGTTCAAGCGCCGGCCGAACGTGTTCATATTCGCCACCATGGTGGTGATCGTGACCGCGTCCGCGGCCCGCGACAAGACCAGCCGGCGGAGCTTCGCGCACAAGTTCCACCGCGAGCTGATACGCCGCGACATCCACTTCCGGTACCTGTGCCAGAGCGTGGTGCAAACGTTCCACCCGGCCGTGTGGGCGTCGCTCGCGTGGTGGCTGCTGGTCAAGTGCATACTCCGGTGGCCCATCACCGTGCTGCTGGTGGCCAAGAACACGTCCACGCATGTGTACTGGGCGTCCGTGTTGCTGTTCTCCGTGTCCGAGCTGCTGTACCTGGCCCGGCTCGTTTACCGCGCGCCCAGCACCGTCATCCGCGAGCTGGTGCTGCCGCTGTTCAGCCAAGCGGCCACCGGCCCGCGGAAACCGGCCGACGGCGGCCGCAAGACCGTGTGCTGGTCGCGGCCCATCGACCAGGACCTGGTGCACTCCATACACGATAACACGGGCGCGGCCACGTGCGAGATCCAGCTGTCCATGCTGGCCGCTGTGCTGCAGGAATACTTCGCCGAGGCCGGCGTCGTGTTGCCCGCCAACAACAACGTGATGACCACCACGCGGTTCGTGTCCAAGACCAACCTGTTCCAGCTCAACAACCGGCACGTGGTCACCAACGGGTTGCTGGCGCTGCCGCTGCCCATGAACACCGGCCGCAACCCCATATACAGCCTGCACAAGATGCAGGAGTGCCTACAGGAGGCCATCGGTAACCAGACCGCGCTCTACATCGCTTCCATGTGGCAGATCGACCACAGCCTGGCCACGTCGTTCCTGCCGTCGCCGGTGGTTAGCTATGGACTTTATCACCTCACCAAGAAGTATCCGCTGTCCGTCACTTATATCGAGGAGAACAAGTTGAACCGCAAGAGACGTCGGCTGCTCTGGGGCCAGGAAGTCGATGCCATCATGTACTGGAGAACACCGCAGTCCAATGTCTGTGAGTTACCGTCCACCAATTTTTACACACTCGTATATAGCTACCAATATCATTAACGGAAAAAGCATGCCCCGAATCTTGGTCTTCTCTTCCCCTATAACTTCACGCCTTCTTGTTCCTGGCGTCGATCCATCTCTATGGAAATAAATACCATTCCCAAATCTCCATGATGCGCGAAATCTGGACCTACCCAAATAACCTAACCTAATAATTTCTATCTTTTCACCAATGTCATAATATTCGCCAACCCCACTCGTCCGTTCATTCACAGTAATTTCACAGATTTCCGTATTTAGTCTGATATTTCCCATGCCCGTGCATTATGTTCTAATACATAGTAATACGTGAAATATTATATTTGTTAAGCTGTAATATCTAATAAAATAGTATTACTAAAAAATACTATTATTATTACACAAATGCGTAGAGGACGTAGAGAATCAATACGAGTGGAGGTTTAGGACAAGGGTGGTCGACATCAAATAGTTGGAAGAAAGCCGAATAAAAAGAAGATTATACAAGTTAATTTACGAACATATTTAGTGATTATTTTAACGTTTAAACTATAGTTATAAAATAAACCGTGCATAATGAGAACAGTTTTCTTTGGGTAGGTAGGAGGGAGGTATTTTATTCAATCTGTCCCGGTAGGATGTAAATGTTTAAAACGCCTTAGCTTACAAACTAAAAATTGTAGTAGTTACAGTTTTTATTAGTTCTGAACTCCCTCTTTCGTTGGTATCAATATTATTTTGTTGAAAAACTCCGTCATCTAAATCCAACTCTTCTGTAACGATATCTTCATCATACAATGGAACTTTATCCATGATACACAAATTATGTAACACCACAAAAGAATTAATAATTCTTGAGGCTTTGTTGGGTGCATAATGAAGGATTCGATGTTTTAGTAGACATCTAAAATAATTATCCATAACACTACGAATATTATCCGTTTTGTTTTTTGAATATTTTACCATACTTACCGCGCAATGGTATTTTACGATTTGTAATACTCCTACTGTTGTGATTTATTTATATATATATATGATACCGCTCCGTTTCAGGTATGTCACTATCGATAATCAACTATGGTGGACATTTAAGGCTGGCAGTGATGGCAGATACAAAAATGACCCCTTCGTGTACCAAGATCGTGTCAATGTACGAAAATAATATACCTGAGTTCATTGCAGCCGCTGAAAGTTATGCAAAAATTGTTAACACTTTAGATTAGTCCTAAGTATTTTTTTTTCTTATTTTTTATGTTTGTATTTATTAGTTTTGTTAAAACGATGAAAATAATATTTTTTATTGTTTCGGAACGAACATTTATTGAAATAAAAGTTACTTAAAATCTACATATTTAACTGTACAAAATTATTTTACAAAATACATCAAATCAAATACAAATAATAAAATTTAAATGTAAATAAAATTGGTAACAAAAAATTAACTTTTTGGCGAAAAGTAATCAGATATTTTACGTTTCACTCTTTTCTTTTCATCATGTTCTTTTCTGTCTCTTTTAAGAGTACTCAATGGTCCTGTAACTGATGGTTTTTCAATAACAGCCTGAAAATCTTTTTTGGAATCATTCAATTGTAGCCAACTGTTTTTCTGCTGTTTAATGCACATTGTTCGTTCTTCATCGTTCTTTAATCGAAATTGGTTTACAGGTAAAAACCTAACTTCAGGAGTCTCATCTTTGTCAACATTATCAGAAGTGTCCACACAATCAATACTACTTAATTTTGATTCAACATCAAGTTTTTCTGGGGTTGATTCTATTATGGTTGGACTTGAATTAGGCATATCTTCAAAAGTAACTGATTCAACAGGAATATTAGCCTTGATAGGTATTTTGTCATTCAGACATTTCTAAAAATAATATAAATATTTTAATGCTAAACTATAGACGAACAAATGTGTTCATTTTTTTTACGCACCAACCTGCGCGTCATTATTAATAACGACATCATATATAAAATCATACAATCCCGTGCTGGGATGAGTTGACAAATATGTATTATATTTAATGAGTATCTTACAAATTTCACCTGAAAGATATAACATTGTTACAAATGTTTTAACATATCTTAGTTAATTTGTTATTTTACTAATAAGATAATAACTAACCAACTGTCATATTTTGCTTTTTCAAAAATGTATGCATATCATTAATTGATTCTCGTAGCTTGGTATCACCGAATGTAAAGTAAGCAACATCTCGTTTGGCTTGTGCAGCACTCAACAATTGCAACAATGATTTCAAATGACAATCACCTTGAAAAGCACCACAACCCCAGTTTCCTGTTGCTATTGAAACATTGGAACAATCCGAACCATGTCCCCAAGAAAACCCTACAAAAGCCTAAATGAAGAATAAGTTTTAAAAATAATCATAAAAATATTTGACATCAGCATTAATATACTTTGTTAAGTTCTCGTCTAAGATTTTTTGGAAGAAATTGAGTTAAAGGATCTCTATAGAAAATTGCATCAATGGCCACAACAGTACAGTAGCGGCGATTATTTTCATCAGTTGGTGTGATATCTACATGAACGCCATCCCACTCGAAAGAATCGGCATATCCACTATAATTACTGAACCTTTCCACACCTGAAAATTGATTAGTTATTTTTAAAAAGTAATAATAATTCTAATAAAAAAGCTTACCTGTTATTACAATTGCTTCAGTTGGTTGCATCTGCTCTGAAAACAACTGAGACACTAATAATTCAGGACAGATTAAGAAACGTATTTCTTCTTGCACACTACCGTGACCAAGAACTCCTCCTCCGATAAATCTAAAAAAATAATTATATTCAATCAATGTTCATAAATTAAACATTTTGAGTATTATACATACTTATTTGCAAAATCTATTTGAAGCATCCCATCACCATCATTCTCTATGGTTCCATCAGATGTTATGTACAAATTTGTTAACTTATTTGTCGATTTTAACCAAAATGGCAATTCACTATCTGATAAATATCTTCTAGAATAAGTGACTATACCATTCAGAGCTAAAAATTAAAATTACATTTTTAAATTGATATTGGAAATTTTTATCTTAAACTATGAATTATTTGCTCACCAGAATTAGCACTAGTGACTCTTTTAAAATAACAGATAACACATTTCAACTTCTCATATAAATAATTATTATCAGAAGAAGTAACTCTTAACTGGAACAGTCTGCTCAGAAAAATTAATGTATCATTTCAAAAATTTACGTTGTCTTATTTTTAACTTGCCCATTAAAATTTATTTGTGGATAAGAAGAATATTCAGACTGCCAACTGCTGACATTTCTATGAGGAAATGTACATAAGAAAGCATTAGCCAGCAAACAAGCAATTTGCATTTGACTGAATGATATTGAGTGACTGTGGTTTTGTTTCAACAAGGGTATTGGACTAGTTACCAATGTAGGTAATTGCAATGCTAATTTGATAATTTTTGGCAATAAATTATTGAAAAATAATTCCGTTTCTTCTTCACATAAATACTGCACACATAAAATTAAGATATTAAATGTATTAATTACAAAACTATAACTATAGTTGGTACACAAGTAATACAATTCAATTGATGATATAAAAAATAATAAAAATAAATTTAAAAAAATTAAGAAAGCTCAGTCAGCAGCTATTCCCAGTTCTAGGCATATTTTAAAAAATATACTATTTCTATACACAATTATATATAATTATACAAACAATTAATTCTATATACAATTTCAAAATAATTTAGTAACTTGTAAAGAATGTGCAGATACCTAAATAAATAAAATGTCTTACATTGATTATACATACAATAATAGTACATAATGTATTAAATATATATAATCAATGTATCTTATTTACAACAATCTTTATATTTTAGTACCAATTGTTTGTGTTGACCATAAAATTATATTAAATACTCCTATTTTGAAATTGTTTAATAATTACTGATAGAAATTGACTTTTTATAGAACTGTTAAAATGTTATTTATTTATTCAACAATTATAATTATGCCTCGATAATTAAAAAATGATGAACACAATGGGAATGCAAAAAAATTTTTAACTTATAACTAGAATCATAAAACTAAAAATTATCTCAAATAATTTTAAAAATAAATAAAAAAAAATCTAAAATTAATTCTGAGTACTTAGATAGTTAAAGTAACAACTTTAAAGTTCATATATTTGTTATACCATTGGTAAAAATGTTTATAGTACTTCAACATTTTTTTAAGACATAAATATAAAGAATACACAAACGTCAAACTAACTAGTATATTTAATATCAGTTTTTATTTCTAAGAAAATTTTTTTAGCATTTTACAAATAATTTCTATTTTAGATTGGTAAGTTTTACTTTTAATGACTAAAAAAATACTTTACTTCATCAAAAAATGAGTGTAGTAAATGAAATCTCCATTTGTCTTTATATTTGAGATTATATGATAATATAGCTTTTTCTAATTCTTGACTAGACAATATTGGTTTCTTAAAACTATCTTTAATAATATCCCAGCGATTTTTCTTAGAATTCTAAAATATTAAATATAAAATGAGATAATGAATATTGAATAATATTTAAATAAAAACTATAAAATACATACATTATCATTATCAATAAGTAAATTATGTCTAGAACACGGCATTTTCACATGATTCATATCCCAGCCATCACGATAATCTTTTGGATATGGTTCTGGCATATTATTAGGATCAATTGGAGTCTATAAATTATAATTTATGCTAATAAAAAATATTTAAACAATAATATAAATTATATTAAATAGCATACTTTAAATAATACTGTATGTTGTACACTACGTATAAGTGATGGAAATAGTCTTTTACTAAAGCTCCTGGGCAGCATACTTTTATCAGTGCCTTTCCAATTTGTAGTTTCGTCTTGATTTTCATTTGTCATATTTCCTAATTCAAACATAGTTTCAATATATTTTATAAAAATTTAAAAAAAATTCATTATTTAGTATTATTTATTATTAAGTAAATATAAATGTATACATTTGATCTTAAACAAATTAATTGAAAACAATATATATATACTTGATGTATAGTTTTACCAGAACATAAGTTTCAATAACTATCGCCTATCTTTGTATTATTAATAATTAATACAGTTTATAAAAAACGTTATTCAAATTGGTGATTATTTTGTCTTGTAATGCCTTTTGATAAGCCTAATGGGTTATTTGTATGACAAATATAAACATGAATAGTATGAAAACAAGAATAAAAAAAATTTAATCCAGGCAATGTAAATAATATTGTAATGACAAACAGTATCTAGTACAAAAACCAACGAACCAAATAAATACCAAGTAAATACCAAAGGAAATTGAAAATAAGTATTTTACTACATTGAAAAACATATTATTATTATTACTAAGCTATTTACGTTAGATTATAATTTAAGGTATCTTGGGTATTATAAAACTATGATTGCTGAACGTTTTAAATCGTTTCACTCACCAGGCTCCATAACGATTGGTGTGTGGCGTGTGCCACTTGAAAATCTCGTTTCGCGCTCGTATATGAAAGCAAACAAATTAATATTGTCCTCTAATAAAATGCTTAATAAGAGTGATAATATAAAACAAACACCATCCCTTTAAACGACGGCGTTCGAAAAAAAAACTGTAAAAACACAAACTACGCGAATGGCAAACGATAAAAAATATTTGTGTATTGATAAAGACGAAAAAAAATAAAAATAAAACTGATAAACAGTCTGCGGTACTGTAAATGATAAGTGATAGTCGAAGTGCCGTATAGCATGGTATAATTTAACTCGTAATATTTACTAGTTGTCGCTAGGAACAAAGTTATTAAAAATTATCATTTGTATGAAGACAGATCAAACAACGATCTTGAAAGATCGTTTTTAGGATAATTTTAATTTTTAAATATTTTTGGTTCAAAAGCAATAAACTTAGAAAGCTGGAAAACAATAATTAATAACAGTTAATAAATACGAGTTGGATGCAACCGATACTCAATTATATTACGCGATATTGTTGTCGGAGAGTGGATAATTTTGAAATTTACCACTTCGCACCGATTGAAACACTTTCCGTGGAGTTTTGTCGTATAACTCGAAACCACCTGTTCATACAACTACTGCGACGTTGCGCCGTTTGAAACTACAGCTAAAAAAATCTTATTTTTATCATAAAACTAGCTGACCCGGCAATGCTTTGCTATTGCTAGATTTCAGTACATTTATATATGTTTAGGAATATGTGAAAAGTTTGATATGAATTATATCAGATATTTAATTTGATTAATTTGTTTTATATACGTGTGGAATATATTTGTTTCGTTATGATGTATGATGTATGATTTTTATTTTTTTTTTTTAATTATATCAATTTGTCTTAAGTATTAAATATTTCTGGATACACCACGTTAAGTGTCTCACCTTCTAGGGCCATCACAAATAGATTTTGTTTGCATGTGACACGTAACAGAGCTACGTACAATTGACCATGGGAAAAACACTGGACGGTTAAGTCTAAACCTGCAACGTTTAATGTTTGACCTTATGCCTTATTAATAGTCATTGCAAAGCTTAATTTCACGGGAAATTGGTGCCGTTTGAACTGAAATGGCAAATTGGTTGGTATCATTGGTATTCTAGGAACCAAGACCATTTCCCCAGCTCCGCAGCCAGTAAGGATTATACACTCAAGCAGACAGTTTTTTAAAGACTTTATTTGTAATCTTGTACCGTTGCATAATTTAGGTGGACTTAAGTTACGAAGTAAAATTATAGGAGACCCTATTTTTAGAATTAATTTGTGTGGTGGGGTCCCTGAAGGTGATAAAGAATTTAAAAATTCAGTTGGATATTGTATCGCCTCCTCTGCATCTAAAACAGTGTCAATGGAATAGTAAACTTTTGTTGGTGCGTTTAATTTTAACAGTATCATGTCATTTATTTTATTGACTTGATCGTTAGTTGGTGACAATATTGCTCTTTCTTGAAACCAACTTGGCGTTTTAGTCGAAATATTAGGTAAATCTGGGTAAACATTTTCAATTAGGTCCATAAAATTAGACATCAAAAAACAAAGCTCAGACTGATCAATTTTACCATTTCTAGTCAGTGACTGACCATTACCAACACGGAGTAAAGCATTAGCAAAAGTTTTATTTCCTTGGTCAGATGATAATATTCTCATATTAGTTTTAAGTTTCAATTTAGTTATGTCTGGCCAAATGTAAGATCTCTTTAATGATGCATTGACTTCATCAGCTCTCGTTCCTCTTACTACAACTGGCAAGATTTGACGAAAATCTTCAGAAAATAAGACTGTACAGCCACCCATTAATGTATTTTTATTACGTAAGTCCCGCAAGGTTCTATCCAATGCCTCAACCGAGCTTTTGTGGGTCATGGATGCTTCGTCCCAAACAATGAATACACAATCCCGCATTAATTGAGCAGTGTTGCTTTGTTTGAATATATTACAGACACTTGATGTGTCGTCGTAGGTGCGCCTGTTCAATATAACACTAATACGTCGAGAACGTGCTCCACTTCCACTGTAGACGTTGCAGAGATAACTAAAAAAAAAAAGAAATACGGTCCATACATATACACAGGAACTATAGTAACTATAGTAACTATACTAAAATAAATGCAAAAAAAAAAAGTGTCTGAATCGTGGTTTGAACTCGAGTCGCTGACTTTGAAATCTTACAAAAGTGCCACTGCGCAAGAGAAATCTGTGCACGGGTGATAATTTTATGCTATTTATTATTTATTTGGATGTATAGAACAAATCATTTTTTAATTTTTTAATTTTATTAATTAATTTATTATTAATATTAATTGTATTTATTAATTAATATAACTATTAAAAATATATTAAAAATTATATATTATATATTATTATATGTAATTATTAAAAGTATACCTTCCCTGAATCTAGACCTTAGTGAAAACTGTACTGTATCCGTTGGGTACTTTTTGAGTTATGCGCATATATACAAAAAAGGGGGTTCTATTTTATATAGTATATATCTATACCTATATCTATATCTATACCTATATTTATACCTATATCTATATCTATACCTATATAGATATAGATATAGATATAGATATAGATATAGATATAGGTATAGATATAGGTATAGATATAGATATAGGTATAGATATAGATATAGATATAGATGTAACAAATAATTAAATTGATCGTCAGTACCCATATTGATTGTTATGAATGAGAAGAAAAGTATAAAATGGAAACATATAATTGTTTTAATGTGAATTTTAACCTTGTTTTTGTTCACAGAGAACATTGATGTTAAGTTCTAATTTCCTTGAATCCACCCGAAGAACGGAATAAAGATGTTATGCAATACCAAATTTCGTTTTTATTGATTTTCATTGCTAATAGGTATAAGTTGAACCGAACATACAAGATATCCTGACTGCAAACTGCGTTCGAACGTTCTGAAAATCATCCTTAGATATATTTCAATAAAACTCAATTAGATTTTTGAAGCTTGAATAATTGTGATTTCAAATAAACATTAGTTTGAAGTTCGGTGACTTCTAATTGTAAAGAAGTTTCAACATTTTATGGATTTATATTCAAAGGACTTTCAAATAAACTAATGAGCTTTTCATTTTCTCGAAGATCCTAAAAACACCTTTAAAATTCGTGTGTGAGTTTGGAAGACGTTTTTTTAAAACGTTGATGAATCGCTATTTTAGAAATTAATATTTTGTAATTTAATCTATTTTTAGTCACACACATGGTGTCTACGGAATCAATATTTTCGTACAAAGGATTGATGATTGCGAAACATAAAGTATATTGACAAATAATAAACTGTTTGTAATATGTGCGACAAAAAAGCGACAAATCATCGGTTTAGCTGGATTTACGGTCACTAGATATTATTATTTTCATTATTATTTATACGGCTGCGCGTCTCCGTATTATTTATTGTCTCGGTATTCAAATAAAGCAGTCACGTCCTAGTGGGCAGTGTTATCTGATGCGCGGGCGATCTTCACCCCGTTGCGCTTGCCATACCGTCGTATCGTCTTAATACTACTACGAAAACACGTCTGGGTAACGATAGATTGTTGGTAGAGAACACACGTGGTGTAATGTGTAGAATATTAAATAATTTTCGTCCTCGAGGGATCTTATGTTAACGGCTGCAGCCATTTCGGTCGAATTTACTTTTGTTTAAATTTTTCTAAAAATTATAACTCGCTTGTTTTTTTTTTATTGTAAAAAGTAAATGTAAACGGCCGACGGTAATTACGTTTGGTACAATGTGGATCTTGGTTATTCGGGGTAATATTGTACACGTTTAACGCTGTTATCGTAGACTTTTTTTTTCTCATGCAAATGTATAAATTACATTTGTACCTATAACTGCTCACGCCGTCCGATAACTTGACAATAAAAGATTTATACAAAAAAACTTGAAAGCCATTTATTATGTAACACCGTAGTACTCGCATTTCAGGTGCTACTAACACGTAGGTGGTAAAATGAACAAGAAAAGTGCCAACTACAATTTTAAATAATTAAAATCAAGCCGTTAACTATTTAATGTGTATTGCTCCTCGTATACGTAAACGTGTTAAAGTAATTTTTTTTCGTAATAGTGTGCTTCCTCCTTCCCTTCCATCCAAAAATCAAATATATAATTGGCCCCCTCCGACATGACAACCTATATACGCCACTGTCCAGAGGGTACAAGTGTACCCCCTTGCACCCATGTCGCGGCGCCCGTGTCCACGCTCTATGGTTTGCCGGATTAGTACTGTGTTCAGAGACGGGATTGTACCGGGATCGAACCAATCGGGAATCAATTGCTCATAATTGAAAACTGTTTTTCCGTTCAACGTACATCGCAGAAATTCGCAAGCGTTCTAAACGCAGTATTAATGCTGAACAAAATCAGTGCCCGGACAACGAAAAGGAGTTAGTATCCAATAGTGTAGAGGAAAATCTTTCAGTCTAAAAGCAGGTGGAAACCGATGTGCAACTCGAGAACTCGAGTGTCGAGAGTGCGTTTTCGAAAGGATCGATATTTTTACGCGAGATCAGATTCGGGGAAATTTCGGTGCGAATTCGTAACACTACTGGACTAGAGCCACAGGCAAATACGCGGAACAAAAATCGATTCACAGGATACCTGTGATAACGGATGTGTTGCGCGACAGATAACGGAACAAAATAAACCTTTGAAGCTGCGGATGTCATTATCATCTTAGCAACAGATGTGATTCGAAATGATATGTGAATAGATTTCAATTTAAACAGCTTTCGTTCAACTCAACGCAGTCCAGCAACGATTCCAAGAAACAGTAACGTTCATAGTTTCACTTGAACACCGGTCTTACGATGACGTCGGCCGACAATACGGATACGTTTGATGATGATTCCGCAGGTATTGTCGACGAATTGAAACAATTGTCTGTAGCTAGAGCTCAGATTAATTCATTGAGGTACGTGTTGTGCGGGTGAAAACTTTACAGTTCTTAGAGCATCATATGATGCACTTGTTTTGTTATAAGTCTGAATTATAGTCTTACAATTATTTTCCTCTTTTGTGTATAGAAAACAGAACGAAGCTTTAAAAAAACAGTTAAACGATCAGAATTTGATTGCCTCAAGCAGTGTAAATGAAACCAGATCATTTCCAAATCCTGATAAAGTAGAATTTTCCGTCATAGGAACAATCAAAACAAAATTTAAAGAACGTAGATGTGTTCCAAGACAACCTGGACTCTGTCCATTGGCTCAAGCTCGCCTGACTATATCAAACTCTGTATTCACAAATCCCAATCATGCTCTTGAAGGGCTTTCTGATTTCTCACATATGTGGTAATTTATAAATATATAATACTATGAACATGGATTGAATGTTGAATTTATTGTTTATAATGCAGGATTTTATTTCATTTTCACAAAAACGAAACCACTCATGTTCATGCCAAAGTAGCACCTCCAAGATTAAATGGATTGCGTACTGGTGTACTCGGTACTCGTTCTCCTCACCGTCCTTCACCCATTGGTTTATCACTAGTGCAAATTGATAAAGTTGAAGGTAAATTTAATTTATACGTTTATAGTACTGAATATATTACAATCTAAAATGTTTACTGTTTATGATTTCAGGGAACTCTGTTTATTTTTCTGGTGTTGACATGATAGATGGCACTCCGGTACTTGATATTAAACCATATATTCCGCATTATGACGCACCAGTAATGCTTAAAACTGACCAACACATATCATTATTCGATAATGGATCTCACCAAATACTATTGGATCCCTTGACAACTGATAGAGAAGCACCAGATGGAGAAGAGACAGCTTCATATGATATGCCACTCTCTCCACTCCACACAAGGGTATAATGTTTTACTCATCTTCATGATTTATCTTTAATTGCAATTTTAATATATTTTATTGAATTAGGTACGAGTACCTCTATGGATCACTGAACCTCTGACTCAACAATTAACCGTGGAGTTTTCATCAAGAGCTAGAGATTTCTTAGATTCATTAGAGACTAACGATATTGAAACTACAATTGTGAGCATTTTGAAAGAGGATCCTCGATCAGTATATGTCCGTGAACGTTATAGTAATCAATTTTATACGTTTTTAATCGGAGGTTATCATGTAAGCTGTAAATTTGATGACACTAAACATACAATTAGTGTTTACAGAATATCACTTGTTGACAATTTAGATAATATACCTGATCAAGAAGGTGCCCATTGTTTGCCTGTAACTTAATATTATTTGTTAGTAATTAAAATTAATTTTAATTTTTTTTTATTATGTTCCTTATTTTTATTTCTATAGGTATCTAATTTAATGTTATAAGTTTAATAGTGTTTTTTTGTGTGATATGAAATATATTATTTGTTTGGTTTTTATACCTTTCATATTTTAAACAATAAATTTAATTATTCAATAATATTATCTGTAGCTGTAATGGTTTTTGAATTTGGATAGGCTTTAGGACAGTACAGTATGGTTAGAAATGGTTCTTCTTTATTAAAATTGAATTTTATTATACTAATGTTACTTAATGTATAAATCATATAAGTATAGCTACTATATAAATGTATTTAAAATCCACTTTTGTTTACTTTTTTATTTATTTTGTTGATCAATCAATAATAAATATTTTATCACTACAGAAATAAAATGTACAGTAAATAATATGTTTATATTTTAGGCAATGAATGTTAAGTTTATATTTTTAGTGTGAATTTATTCATAAATTATACAAGTATAAATAATTATTTATATATTGTTTACTATTGATAAAACTAACTATAAGAAACTTTGTATACATTTATAGGTATATTATTACAATATCATGTTAAAGGAATATTTGAGTCAATTTAATATTAACCAACTCCAATTAAATAATTTTAATTCACTTTTTATTTTTTTCATTTTAACTATACAAAAGTATTCAATACAATTAAATTCAGAGTTAAAATAAAAAAACTTATTTTGTCTTTGTGAAAGTAAACATTTAGTATAATTTTTTTTTTTTTTTTTTATTACAATACTGCTATTCAATATACATATATATATATATATATCATAATTTTAAACAAAATGTAATGACAAATAATTAATAGTTAATAAATAAAAACTATACTTAAATTGTATTATTTAATCAAAACATTGGCAAATGAATAACATTACCAATACATTTTATTTATATTATCAAAATACAAATTGTTCATCCACTAAAATACAAAAATTTTGGTAGAAAAAAAAATTATATTTAAAAAATATGTCATGTTTTATCGCCATATTTTTAAACATATTCACAAATATAGTTAATATGCAATAGAAGACTTAGGTCCTTTAAATATAAGAAAATTTTCTTTTACTATCAATTTTTTTATTTGAAATATGCATTGAAAAATAAATGAAAAATAATACATCACAGATTGAATAATATTCTCATCAATAAATTCGTTAATAGATCAATAAACTTAATATTAATTTGGAGCAGATAATGTTGGCAGATTATAAAATATTTTATTAATATTTGACCAATTAAGTAATAAAATGTCTTAATCTTTATAAATATAAAATGAATACTATAACCTTAATATTATGACTTGAAAATATTTTATAGCCATTTAATTAAATAATATAATTCTTTTAAAAAAATTGCAATGATTAAAAATTAAAATAAATATTGTATAAAACTTTGATTTTCATCATCTTTTAACTTTAGTTTGCTCTCAAACTCTTTAAAAATAATACATAACAATAATTTTAGTAAATTTTGATCTTAAATATTATGGAAAATCAAAATCTTTTACTCAAAACTCTCACACTATAATTTCAACAGTTCAAATCTCTGATGTTCAAAATTATAAAAATCTATCTCAAAATAAAATAGATTTTAGTACACTGAAACACACATATATTAACAAATAAGTTCTAAAAAGACAAATATTATGTATTGTTTTATAATTCAAAGGGAAAATATCCAAATCAATAACACCCAAAGTAAAATTCCCAAAACATATAGGAATACTCTAATGGTTAATATTAACATTACCATAAATTAAAGATATTATTTTGGTTTATAGTATTTTTTCAATACATAATTTTAAAATAATATTTCCTGAACTCTCAAATTTAAAAAATATATTTAGTTCTCACTAAAACACACTGTGGACTGCTTAAAAGTGAATGTTACTTAAAAGAACAAATGTTTAGGCTTCAGAAAATATTAAAAACACTTAAATCAAGATCTCTTAAACTTGCTAATAAATAACTGAGACACCAAAATACATTGTTTAAATAACAATTTTAAGAAAAAACCAAAATCTTAACACTTCTAAAATTTAGTACATAAATTATATTATCATTATTTATGACTTTTTAAAAAGATATCATGCTTGGCTTTGACATTTGATACTATTAAATCTTCAATTTCAATACCGTTTTCAATATCTTGGTCAGTCAGTACAATGTCTTCAACAACATCATCTTGAGATATCAACTTGACATTACGTTTCCTTGTGTGTAACAAATTACCAATAACAAGCTAAAGAAAAAAAAAGTATTTGTTTTTAACACTGGCATGAATAATAATTATTGTAAATTCAAATATAGTATGTATGAATAATATAGTAATGTACGCTTGTATACTTACACAGAAAAAACATAAAAGTTCATAATAAATAATAAAATGTTGATATCATAATTGGGTAGTAATAATATATAACACAATAAATATAATAATTTAAACTTACTTGATGTTTATATTTTTTTAGAGCTTCTTTAGATTTTTGTATTAAAATTCTATTATCAGTCTCCAATTTAAAAGATATTATGTATGCATTTGGAGCCCAAATATGAGTAACAGCCTTTAAGACTTTGGGAACCAAACGTAAAGCAATCATAGGTGGTCCATCTTTGGATTGAAATTTATGTTCAGACTACAACAAATAGAAAATAATACTATGTGAAATATGAGAAAAAATAATTTTAGAAGTAAGTAACATTTTAAAACTAATTTATTAGTTCTGTTGTATTAAATTGAATTATATAATTTTTTATAAGCCATTGGTGTATGAGCAAGTAAAATAATTATTTTATAACACTACATACACATTATGAATGACATACCATTTCATTAGGAGGTATGTAAAAGTCTGAAACAGCAGCAGCCAAGTAGAGTAAGCTATATTTGGTATCCATAAGCATACAAGCACCTCTTAGTAGCCACATATATTCAATCAGTGTAGTGAAAGGAACTGTTAGGATTCTGTTAGCTTCTTTGGCATCCTTGTATTTTTTCAATATAGGGTAAAGAATATCAAATTCACTATTTTTTACTAAAATTTTAATATTAAAAATAATTAACTCAATATAAAAAGTCAAGCGCAAGATCATCCATACCTTGAATTAATTTATCATCCACTATCTCTAGTTTATCCAAAAGTGAATTATTGAAATGTCGAACAAATGGTTCTAATGAATTTGAACTAAAAAACAAATATTAAATAGTGTATTTGTACAACATCAACATATGGGTTTAAAATGCAATACTAAGGTAAATAAAAATTATTATAACATAATAGTTGTAATATATAACTACTTTTATAGTTTATCAAAATTGATTTGATAAAAATATAGTTTAATTACATACAAATTACTTATAATTTAACTATAACTAAATAAATATAGTTTTTGCTTATTTTTGTTTAGACTTATAGATGTGAGGATACAGTAGCCATTTGAACTTTTTTTTTTCTTGACTCAGATTTAATATTTTTACATTACTCGTCCTAATAAAATTTCACTACTCTCCAAAAAGTGAATTCATAGATTTTTAGTAGATAAATAATAGCTATTTAATTGGAATATACAGTAAATATATAACCCTGTATCACCTCTAAACCAATTATGCTTATACTATATAACAAATCAACCCACCCACTAATATTTTTGTGAATTACGTGATTCAAACATATCTTCAAGCCGCCACTGTGAGGATTCACAGAAATTTGTCTAACAACTTAATAAAACAAAAAAATTTAAATAATATAACAACAATAAGTTTACATACCGATAAAGAAATATAACAATATATCCAGCTTCAAGAAAATATTCAGCAGAGGCCGAACCTCTAGTTCCAACACTGAAGTTATCAACAAACCGAACAGTATTTTGTTCAATTGGAACAGTAGTTCCTCCAGACTAAAATAAAATAAAACAATTATTTTATAAATATATTATATAGTAATATTGACATAGGTATTAAGTACATTAAATATATTTTGTCTTAAAAATATTTGATAAGTTAAGAATGTATTCATAAATATACTTACAGTTACCAATACAATTTTTTTATTTTCATGGCTGCACACAAAATTTTCCACAGCAGTTATAGTGGGTTCATAATTTGATGGTGAAGGATGTGCATCATAAAAAGATTCCCAGTCCATTTTTGTAAAATAATAAAATTTCAGCTTAGTCCTGAACACAACAATTATTTCAACATTTTTTGATTACTTGAACCTTTTGCATTTCTGTATTTCATAAACAACTAAGATATTGATCATATATGACCTTGATTACTTATCAAATGATACTTATAGGTATTGGATATAATGTCAAGGTATTAAAAAATGATATACAAACTAGAACTTGTTTGAGGGAAATCGATACCATATTAACCCAAATTCCATATATATAGACCGATTAAGATCTATAGTCTACAGGTTATCATGAAAAAATTAGTTATTTTTATCATGTACCTAATAATAACCACAGAATAGATTAAAAAGATTTAATCTATTCTATGAAGTAAATAAGAAACTGATTTTTTTTCTTCTTTTTGTAAACATACAATCTAATCTAATCACGTGCCGTTATCTATTCATAAAAGTTCTACGTTTTTTATCAAGAAAGGAATCGAACGATAATTAATGAGATATTTGGAGAAGACGTCAAATGGACTACAGACCAATTGCTCATACATGAAATCATGATTGTAATGTCTTTAGGTTTTAAATTATTTTTCAAATATAAATCGTTTACAAATTTGAAAAAATAAAATGAATAAAGTCAGTCGATCGTCGTTCAGTCATATGACGTATTGACAAATAATTTGTAAAGGCCAGTTTAAAATTGGTAAACCACTGAACAGATATAGTTTGTTGACCACACAAAAATTATGTTATTTTATTTCAAAACCCGATCGAAGCCAGAAAAGTATTGGTTTCACAACGATAATATTTATTTTTAGCAAAGGAAATGTGTAGATACCAAAAATGACATGTAATTTTAGTTTCTATAGTATTTTAAATATATCGTGTAATGCGGAAGGACTCCAGGATATTAAGAATAAGTCATTTCTAGGTTTCCTCTGTGATTTTTCGGAACGGTTTTGAGCAAAATACAATTTGATAAACCTTGAACAGAATGGTTGTGACACACGGCATGAGCACTATTATATCATTCAAGAAATAAATCTTGTTATTAATAATTCAGAGTGACAGGCATGTTATAAAAACTTTATATTTTTCATCGGGGTGAATATCGATTGTTTCTACCGCGGTCTTAGAAGATGAGACCGTGGTTTCTACGACCTATGAAAAATTATTAATGCACATTTTAGATTGATCTTTGATGTCCAATGGGCACCAAAATAAAATAGTGTAATGTACAATGTCGCGTATCCAAGTGGATGGTCGGTAGTGGTTTTCACCAAAAACTAGAACCATTGTCCTAGTGGAGGGGTGAGGTTTTTGAAAATGAATTTTCTCGACGCAGGCAGAGCGTCAATACGATGGCGATACTACTTCGCGAGACCGATTCCTGTCGGGAGGCGACCGCCACGGGGAACACAACGGTGCGCACGTCGAAGAATACTTACCAGTGAACGGCAGTCGACGCACACAATTCGGATACCTGTACGACGGGAACGGGGAGAGAAGTAAAAGGCGCGTTGAACGTAAGGACGGGAACGCGACGACAACAGGTGTGCGTGTGAGTGTGTCGTCTGCGAAACGGTGGCGCCGGCGGCGGCGAATGCGTGCGCGCGGTTCGCCGAGCACCGTTCGGTTTTTATCGACCGTTGTTCGGCCCGTCGGTCGCTGCTGCTGCTGTTCGGCGGCTAGCGGTTCTCCGGCCACGAACGCATCGATTAATCCCGTCCTGCCACGGGGAGACGTGAGAAAACGAAATAGCGGTGGGAGGAGGAAAGTAAACAAAAAGAACCGAAAACGCACCCCGCCACCGGCCGCGGATTGATAATGGAACGCCGTCGCCGCCGGCGGCAGCAGCCAGGCGTCGCGTGCGTGATAACGCGTGGCCGTCGCGGCGGGTGATACCCGGACACCGAGTTTCACAATTCTTTGGACTATTTACATCATCATTGTTATCGGACCGGCAACCGGGCCAACGGGAACGCGGCGTTCGCGCGCGCACCGAGCCCATTGGCTCACCCGAACCCGGGCCGCCCTTCCCCGTGACCGCGATAACGCCGCGGGAGCGCGACCGCCACACGACCGTGCACGCGGCGATTACGACGGTGTCCGTGTGTACGTGTGTGTGTGTGTGTGTGCGTGCGCGTAAGTGATAAGTGCGTAC